ATCATACTCGATATAGCTAGCTAACTCAATAAAAGTGGTACGGATAGCTAGCTATCACAAGCCGATATTGCCCGATAACATATTTTTATAGCTAGATAATCTCAAAGGCATTTTTTTGCTTGGGATGAATAAGAAAAAAATAATTTGAATGTTCTGGCCAAAAACTCAAGCTGAAAAATCTAACGTTTTTGAACATCATGGTTTTTTCGAGTTTTCTCGATTTTTCGACATGAAAAATCAAGAACTACATATTCTTAATCAGCTTGAAAAACTCTATCGAACGGTATATAATATAGTCAAAAAACTTTTTTGCTGTCAGTTGGATTAAGGATGCCTTAAGAAAAATACATTTGATGAAGAGGGTGGCAGATCTTTTTGATGATGTTTGATATTTCAGTTTTTATCGCATTCAAACTTAGTAATAAAAATTTTGATTTTCTATGCTTTTTGAAGTTCAGACCTTTTTCTTTCCAACGGAAAAAACTGAACTCTTCTACATATGGACACATGTAGAAAATAATGTTCGACCTTTCTCCAATTATCTCTCAATCGTCGATTATAAAAGTTGAATTTTCTTGGTGCACTCTAGTAATTCAGATGGGAATCATGTTGAAGCCGTTTATCTAGAGGAAAAGAATAGCTCAAAAAGATGCCGGCTTGTTACAAAAGATTTTACATTGGATACAAAAGAAATGAAAAGAAACGCTGAGGGAGATGGCGGTAAATTTCTAATAAAAAAAAAACTCATTGGAGATTATGAATAATTTGTTCACAGGTATAAATACCATCAGAAAAACTCAGTATGATTGTTATAAACAATTTATTGATGATTCCAAAAATTTGACAAGTGGCGGACGATCTATTTCAAAAGTTCTATATTCTCCAGTTTATTACGTATTAGCTTTATCGTCCTGCTACTGTGGAGAGCCGGATTCTGTTAAACTAAAAGAAACTGATAAAAATGTAGCAGGTATTATTACGGATCCAGATAAACAAGGACGAATTCATTTGGCTTATGCTAATGGGTACTAAAAAACTGAATGTTTGAAATTAACGTCAATTATTTGAGTACTACCTTTAGCGAAGTACTTCGATCAAAGAAAATGGAGCATTTTAGTCGTTATTTGCGTCGAACATTTTACTATGTGGATGAAGAAAATGAAAAGGGTGAAATTATTCGAGTATGTAGGATATGCAAATTATCTGATAACTATTATCTGTTCCAGAAGTGAACGTACTCGGTTGTTTTTTGAATAACTTTTGATAGGAACAAGATGAAGACCTGCGATTTCCACCGTTTGACAGCCAAGATCCAGGAGCATATTTTCACAGGCAAAATCTTTCCTGAAAACAGATCCCAAAAGCGGTTTTTCAAAGGATCTCTGGAAAGCCACGCTGGATTTCTGAAAACTGCCATAGGAGACTATTGATTTTTTTACATGGATAGATAGCTCAGAGTATCCCCTACAGAACTAGATCTAAACAAAAGTTCTATCATGCAAGGTTCAGGCAGTTTTTCCGAAGTCCTAGGACTCCTCTTTCCTTAGGTGTGGCACTATTGTCAACACATGAAAACACAGGTTACCGACTATGCTCAATCTCGTGGCAGTTTTAGTTTTCAGAACAAAATGCAAGAACCGAATGAAAACCTAAACTAGGTGAAATAATCCATTTTTGATTATTTTTATCAAAATTTAATAAATTCGTAACTGAGTCAAAAACCATTCAAACTACTTCAGAATTCTAGGAAACACTGTATTTTACCCGCTAATTCTGATTCTTTACGTAAAATCAATAAAAAAGTATTCTCTTAGTTCCGAAGGTTTCTGGGAAACCTTTCTAGAAATCAAAGTATTTTCTGTTGGATTTTTTAACGTTTATTGATCATTATTGAGAACTTATTGAACTGCAGATAAAATGTAATTTGCTCAAATTCTGAAGTAGTCTGAATGGTTTTTGACTCAGTTACGAATTTATTAAATTTTGATGAAAATAATCAAAAATTTTTGTTTAGATCTAGTTCTGTAGGGGATACTCTGAGCTATCTATCCATGTAAAAAAATCAATAGCCTCCTATGGCAGTTTTCAGAAATCCAGCATGGCTTTCCAGAGATCCTTTGAAAAACCGCTTTTGGGATCTGTTTTCAGGAAAGATTTTGCCTGTGAAAATATGCTCCTGGATCTTGGCTGTCAAACGGTGGAAATCGCAGATCTTCATCTTGTTCCTATCAAAAGTTAACCGAGTGCGTTCACTTCTGGAACGGATAATAACAATCATTAACTTATATTCTTGCCTTTTATAGTATTTATTTTGTGCAGAATATCCATACATTTTGTCCACACTTTATCAAATGCAACTGTTGGGTGATTTAAACGAAGATCAAAAACGTGATGAATACTTAAGATATTGCAATATTTTCCAACGTATTCTCATTGCCCATAACCTCACTGATTGTATTAAGCTGATCATGTATGATGATGGACAAAACAAGGGTCAGTTATTTGACGAAAAAAAATCATTTTATTTATGAAAAACTCTACTATTTGATTTTCGTATATAGTTGATAGTGTTGAACAACTATGGGATCAAATAAGAGACGATATTGTTAGTTGGACTGTTGATTCTCCTGTGTTAACACAGATACAAACACCGAGTTTACCGGTGGCTTCAGGAAGAAAAATAGTGCCAATTAAACGTTTATTTAAACTTGGAACCGATGAACTTGAACAGAGTCGATTATTTATTGAGTAGGTGAGCATTTATCTTTAACAGATTATTCTATTTTTCTGTTTTTCTATTTAGAGCTTTGAAAACAAAATTGAATAATAACAATGGTGTGACGATAACCGATCCCGAATTAGACAATCGTACGTAATTTTTATTTCAGATAATATCAAATATATTCCTGTGTTTTTTGTTTCAGCAACTGCTGGTCACGGCAGAGATTTTTCTGATATTGAAAACAACGAACAAGTGATTTTTATTTTCACAGTCGGCGGTGTTCGAGAAGAACTTATGGAAAGAATAGCGGCAAGAAAATCAAAAAACGTACGTTAATGAATATTATTTTCTAACTTACAGTGGAATATTGGTCATTTAACGGGTAGTCCACATTAAATTGTCGGTTTTTAATAGACTTTTTTCTCAAGTTAGGCTTGACCAAAAAGTTTGATTCTGATGCCTAAGATAGAGAATTTTGTGTAGATCTTATTGATATGCTTTTCCTTAAATAAGCATGTACCATACTTTTGTAGCATTAAAAGTACTGGATGCCACAAAAACATCATTTGTTCAGCACTTGAATGGAATAAAATGTCATTTTTATTTGCTAAATAATTTTCTATACGGTATTCTAACACACTATGAAAAAGTACAGAAACGTATTTGTTTTTGGACTGAGCTGTACTATATTGAAAATTGCCCACAAAATATGCCTAATTATTTATTTTTGTCGCACTTTCAAATTTCAATGAAAACATTTCAACTTGGTCATTCGGTTAGAAAAGAGATCAGCTCTTATAAAAAAGAGCATTTCGTACAGTTTTAAATTCTGTATCTGTTGACATAAAAAGGACAATTTCTGCAAGGCCAAGTTGTGAGGAAATTTATAAAGAAAAGCAGGATGTAGTGGCCCACGAACGTCTCTTTGATGTTTTGTAGTTTTCGAAACTAAGCTTATCAAACTCAACACACCACCAGATACACTGAAAAATTCTACATCTCTTACTACAAGTAGGAATCTTTAAACTCAATCTAGATAGGCAAAATTGATTTTTACACGTTTCCGATTTGATAGTTGAGCAAGTGATATTTTTGTGGCATCCAGTACTTTTAATGCCACAAAAGAATGGTACATGCTTATTTAAAAAAAAGTCAATAAAATCTACACAAAATTCTCTATCTTTTAGCATCGGAGCCAATCAAAAACCGGCAATTTAACGGGTGAATCTGTTGACAACACTGAAGGGTGTCAGCAACGGCTACCGAGTAGTGATACTAAGGGCTATTGACATCAACTGGAAGTGGTAGGAACAGCTGTTGACCACTGAAGGATATCAACAATGACTAGTGACACCTAGTGGCGGTGGCATGAAGGATTATTGACACCTTCGGGATTTAGCCACCGAGCCAAGGCTTGCCGTTGAAGAGGTGTCAAGAAAAGCTATTGACGCATAAAGGAGGTGGCAGCAAGAGCTATTGACATGACCAGGGTTAGAGGTGCTAGGAAGAAACATTCAGTGAGTTGCTCGAAATTAGGTTTCATACTGCTCAACAACTCTGTCAATTCATCAGTGTCAATAGCTCTTCCTGTCACCTTTAAGCCTAGTCGTGTCAACAGCTCTTGCTGTTTGCTGACACCTCCTGAAGATGTCAATAGCTTTTCTTGACACCTCTTCGATGACAAGCCTTGGTTCGGTCACTAAATCCTGGAGGTGTCAATAGTTCTTCCTACCACCTCTAGTGGGTGTCAATAGCCCTTACTGACACCAGCCGAGCCATTCTCCAATTTAATCTGGGCTATCCGTTACTTTTCAGCGTGGAAATTTCAGAGACGTGATCATATTGTTAAATGGAGGCCTTTCAAAAGTATCGTCACGTTTGATGAATTCTATTCCATATTTAATGTTTGATTTGAATAAACAACGAGAACCAAATGACGACGATATTGTAAAAATCCTTTACTATTTAAAAAGTGAGTGTAACATTGGATGTTTTCATCTTATAAACACCCAACCGATTTTTTTTTATAGATCTCAATGTTTTATCTAAATCGTACACGGAACGTTTCGAAAGTATCGAAGGTCTTATGCAAAAAAGCGAAGTTGTGAGTCTCTAATTCGGCGTTGGTAAACTGGATAGCTGACTTATTTATTATTTGTTTATTATAGGAATTTACTACGGCTGGTAAAGGCATAGCTGTGGCGTTCTATTTCAATTACGCAAAATTATTGACTTCAACCAAAGGTAAATTCTCTTAAATGACTATAACAAGTATAATACGTTGATTGTTTGACTGTAGATCATCGAGAACGTGTTCAAACTCTTAAAAGTCAGCTCTACAGTGAAAAATTGATTGATGACATAGATAAAATATTCATTGAAAAATGGGTATTTATTCTACCGTGGACAACAAACGGATCATTGCAACTCCTTAAAAATGCTTGTTTATTCAAAGAGAGTGGCTTTGATCTCTCTCAAATAAGTTTAAAGTAATTGCATAAAAAAAGGAACTAAAATATATTTTTAACATGCTTTTGATTTTAGATTAATTAACATAAATCTTACACTTGCCGGAGTTGTTGAGAGATCATATTCACCGCTTTTCATATTTCAATTAACCAAGATTGATGAAAACAAGGTAGAATATTATATTGTAGCATTATGAAGATTCTACAGTCCTGTGCGAAATTATAGGTCACGATTTGTTTTTTGATTTTTCTACTCGGCTGTAATAGGAAGGACAAATGTGAAAAGTGATCTGCATTGCTGAAAGAGTTTCCACTCAGATCAGATGTATACGAAAAGTCCATTAAAATTCCTACAAACCAGATCCCTGCAAAACCAAGGATTTAGAAAACCCACAAAAATCAAATTCTAGGATTCCAACAGAAATCTTTTGTAAACAGCTTATTCATGTAGAGCAAACATTTTTGAACAAAACTAGACATCGCTGAATTTTCCACGACGTTTTTTCATCGAACTGCATTCAATTTATGGACACGTCAAAATCAGCAAAATCATTAGAAAAAAAGCAAAAATGACATTGAAAACGACCGAGGGGTCTTTAAATTGAATGCAGTTCGATGAAAAAACGTCATGGAGAGTTCGACGATATCTAGTTTCGTTCAGAAATGTTTGCTCTACTTGAGCGAACTGTTTACAAAAGGTTTTCATTGGAATCCCAGAACTTGACTTTGTTGGATTTTCTAAAATCTTAGTTTTCCAGGTATCTTGTTGTCAGGAATCTGAATGGATATACACAACACAAACTCGTCGCTATAATTTTGCACAAGACTGTAGTTTAAATTACTGGTTTATCTTGTAGACTTACTATTTTCCCATGGAGATTCCAGCTGCTTTCCATGGTCTTCAGAATCAGTATGAAAATAGTCAAGCTGAATTTCATTTTGGAAAATTTCATCCCGTTGATCAAGCGGGAATTTTTCAAAAAGAAGTTCAACATTACTACAATGAAGAGAAAAATACTGAATGGCATGAACATATTATGCTTGTTCCGATACCAAAACCTAACCACAATATGGAGAAAGACAATTACACGTCCAAAGTTTTACTGGATACATTATGGTCAAAATTGAGCACGATAGCTAGCAATAATTAACATTATATTGCGTTCATAAGTCTGCAAAGAAGTCTGATATTTTGTAAGCTAATTTGGTGGAAACAGCTCTACCGTATTTTATATTTTCTTTATGAATTGCAAATATAATACAAATAAAAACTAATTGTATTTGTAATTATGCAATATTAAAAAGAAAAAGGTCAACAACTAACATTTATTTATTATTAAACGACACTCAATGATGTCCAGTGAGCATTCAGACATACATTTAGCCAAAAAGTGAAAGTGAATACATTTTAGATTCCACTAATGGACAATAACGTTAGATGTTTGGACTATCTTTTCCAATAGAAATATTTCATTCATCTCTATTCAAACACGGAAAAAGAGTCATGCTTAAAATTAGTCCAAAATCAGTAAAAACGGTCAACGTTACATTCTAAAAAACATTTTTCGATATGGTAGATGAATTTCGAAATTAAAAACGATCTCACATATGAATCTAGTCTCATCGAATTATGTACTAATGGAAAAAGTGTCCAGTTTTAACCTAAAGTCCTTGAAAAACATTTATTTTCTATGCTAACAAATATGTTAGTATTTAATCTTTAATTTAACGCATCGCTCCTGCCCACCCCCCATTTTAACCCTTTGACACCCAGTGGGAAGCATACTTCTCACCTCGAGAATTTTCAAATCTTGTAGTTTTTGCGAATCTTAGAGAAATATTTTCAGTAAATGTTAGAAGGTAGCAGAGGTCCGTACAGGATTGCACGGATAATAGGGTATATGGAGGACGTTGAAAACTGCACCATGCCAAGTTTCTTTAGTCTAAAAAAGTTTTAACCGCCGTTTTGAACTGCTGGGTCATTCTATCAAAAACGTTTTTTAAAGAACCCAAGCAAGCAAAAAAAATCTACTATATGCCGTCTTGCAGAGAAATGTTTGCTCTACAAAACTAGCTGATTTCAGAAAATTTCACATTTCGCTGTTGCGAAAATACAAACCATTTTTGGAAAAACACGAAAAAAACTGTTAAAAAACTGTTGCATGCCTACCAGTTATTTTTACGTGATTTAATGTATTTTCGAATGCTCTAAGTTTTGTCAGGAATACGTTTGGAATCTTTTTAACAAATGCATTTGGTAGAGCAAACATTCTACAAAATGAGATGTTTCACAGCTCTGAGCGAATCGTGATAACTGATGTATACCAATTCTCCCGGATATCCCCACACCAGTTTTTAACTGGTGCATACCTAGTGATCACGTGCTTCCTAATTGTAATTTAACCACATGCTTCCTAATGTCACCTACTGAGTTTATACCAAGTTTCATCAAATTTGGTTCAGTAGAAAAAATTCGGGTGTCAAAGGGTTAAGGAACTTTTGACTTTTTAAGATTTTCAGAAAACTGAGTTTGACATGGCTCTATATAAGATCAAGAGTCCTATTTCACATGGAAGTCAACGCAATTCTTAAAAGGTGTTTCTATCGTGCAGTAGAATCGCATGCTGCCGGGATATATACGTAAAAAACTACATCAGATTTGTTTTTCCTTGTGATCAAGTCTGTTTTCCGATCAGCAACTTTTTTTCAAATCATTCACGACGTTCATATTCAATATCAAAAGGATATTCTACTTTTTTTATTAGCTATTTTAACACTTTCGCGTAGTATCTTGACATTTTCTCGTACTCAGGACACACATAAGGCAGCAACATCAGTTAAAGTCAACCTATATTCCGATTCGTGTATAGAAAAAAGTAGATATCCCTATCGGGATATTGAATCGGGATATATATCCTGATTAGGATATGGTTCCTCGCTGTCGTGACTTATAGATTTTTAAAT